CCTGCCTTGGCTTCTTGAAGTGCTTGGATTACAGGTATCAGCCACTGCACCTGGCCTGTCCATTCTCAAATACATATTAGTAACTCCCATCTACTGAGTACTTCCTATGTACCAGGTACTATGTATTGTTTATACATATAATTCCATTTAATATTCACAAAAGTCCTTTTGAGTTGAATACTGTTGTTATCACCTGTGTTTTAAAGATGAAGAAACTAGCATGGGGAGGGCTAGGGGAGTTGTCTAACATGATCCAGCTAGAACACTGCAGAGCTGGGATTGCAAGCTGGGCCTGGATGACTCCAAATCCTGCCTTCTGTAATTTTATGCATGGTGTCTCCCAAGTGGGGAGTATATTAAATGCAAATTTCAGATGTTGGTAAAAGGTAGAATTCTAGAAGTGGTAGAAATCCTAGAGTTCTTATAATGAGCTCTCTTTGTTTTTATAAGAAAAATCTGAGGCAGAGTGAGGTTGAGTGGTTTCTCTGTTGAACATCCAGGACTGGAACCCAGGATTCTGAGTCCAAGCCCAGTGCTCTTTCCCCTGATGAGAAACGTTTCCAGATTTAAACTCCAGTTTATAGGTCCATTAACAACCCTCTCTAAAGAGGAGGCAAGAGGTTTCAAGTTCTTCTCAGGGAAAAAAAGAACTGACATCAAAAGGTCTGTATGGGGTCATTTGTCTCATCATGACTTTGATTTGGCCTTGATCTTTATTTAGTATTTCAGTTTTATGCTCTGCAACAAGTTTGGCCATGTTGGAGGACCATCCAAAGGTCAGCAAGTTGGCTACTGGCGATTGGATGCTCACTCTGAAGCCAAAGTCTATTACTGTGCCCATGGAAATCCCCAGCTCACCTCTGGGTGAGTATTCCATCCAGGTTCTGGAAGTCTCAGGCTCTGAAGGCTTTTTACACACTGCTCCATGGGAGCCTAAGGCTGGTTGAGCAGCACCTCATTCTGCAGGGATCCTGGTCAGAGCAGGACAACGGCTCTACGATGTGCTGGGTGTTCTTCTTCTATCTCCTTCAGCCAGTGTGCTAGGATTGTGATTTCACTTTCTCACCAGGCAGGGGCTGCAGTTTACAGGAGAAAGACTGTTCCTGAATTTGTCTGATTGTGCTGTTTTTTTACTCCTCTTAACTGATTACAAATCTCTCCAACATCACTTACTGAGGCTCACTATTGACTTTTTTGTTTTTGTTTTTGAGAAGGAGTCTCGCTCTGTCACCCAGGCTGGAGTGCAGTGGCACGATCTCAGCTCACTGCAACCTCCACCTCCTGGGTTCAAGCGATTCTCCTGCCTCAGCCTCCTGAGTAGCTGGGATTACAGGCATGCACCATCATGCCCAGCTATGTTTTGTATTTTTAGTAGAGATGGGGTTTCACCATGTTGGCCAGGCTAGTCTCAAACTCCTGACTTCAAGTGATCCGCCCGCCTCCTCCCAAAATGCTGGGACTACAGGCGTGAGCCCCTGCACCCAGCTGACTATCATAAGACTTCTATTTCCAAATAATAGCTCACATAATAACTTGTGTAAATATCTATAGATAGGCTTCCCTTATTTTGGATGCACAATCCATTTTTCATATTGAATAATCTATTAGAGTATCCCTACAACTATTATTTCTCAGCTAATACTGAATTTATTCCAAGAGCAATAATATTGTTAAAGACTAGAAATAACCCCTCCATAACTCATTTAATAAGGTAATTCTCTTTATGAAAAAGAAAGACCTAAGTTTAAGTTCCCTCTCTGCTACTTAGCAGGCAGTAACCTTGGTCATATCAAGTAACTTGTATGAATCTCAGTTTCCTTACCACTAAGATGAGAATGATGATAATCACCCTCCTTCTAGGATTACTGTGGGGAACAAATGACCAATATGTGAAAGTGCTTTGTAAACTGTAAACTATTTAGAGGTTAGTTTATGTCACATTGTCATGTATCTGTGAATACTTAAGTGCATGTATGTTATCATTTTTGTGTGTTTTTATGTTATGTTTTAGGCTTGGACCAATCTAGGTCATAGTTATTACTCGAGGGCAGTGGTTCTCAACTGGGGGCAATTTTGTCCCCCAGGGGATATTTGGCAATGGCTGGAGATATTTTGGGGTGTCACAACCAGGGATATGGTACAAGAATCTAGTAGCTAGAGGCCAGAGGCTTGTCTAAACATCCCACAATCCACAGAACAGCTTCCCGCAACAACAATTATCTGGCCTCAAATGTCCATAGTGCTGAATTTGAGAAACCCTGCTACAGAGCAGTGGGTTCTCAAATGTTAGAATCTGTCAGAGTCACCCAGGGGAAGTATCAAAACACAGATGGCTGGACTCAATCCCGACATTTTCTGATTCAGAAAGTCTAGGGTGGGGCCCAAGAATTTGAAGTTTTAGGAAGTTCCCAGGTGATGCTAATGTTGCTGGTCCAGACATTGCCCTTTGAGAACCATTTCTGGAGACAAATCCTTCAATACGCACGGGTCGCTTTGATAGACTACTTTGCTTAGCCTACTGAGCAAAGTAGTATCTTATTAAATGGTGCAAAGTTTATATCAACTAGTTGAGAAGTTTGACTCTAGGCCAAAATCCTTTGTGTGATCGATGTGTGATTTGAGATAATGACAAGGCTTTGCCTGGCAAGCTCCATGGAAGGAAGAAGCTGCCCTTCCCACAGCAGACTCAGTGCACAGCCAGTGCCTTACAGTTTCCTCTAGGGAGTTGCATTCAAGGATTCAGGCGGGTATCTTTCTTCTCACACCTGTAATCCCAGCACTTTGGGAGGCCGAGGCGGGAGCATTGCTTGAGCCCAGGAGTTCAAGACCAGCCTGGGCAACGTGGCAAAACCCCATCTCTACCAAAAATACAAATACATGCACCTGCAGTCCCAGCTACTTGGGAGGCTGATGTGGGAGGATGGTTTGAGCCTGGGAGGCGGAGGATGCAGTGAGCTGAGATTTTGCCACTGTACTCCAGCCTGGGTGATAGAGCCAGACCCTGTCTCAAAAATGAAAGGAAAGGGAAGGGGAGGGGAATGGAGCAGAGGAGAGGGGAGGGGAGGGGAAGGGAAGGTTAGGCTCATACATTAAATTAAAAAAAAAAGATTCAGTTCCACCACCCCTCCCTCACACCCCTGCACCGCATGTGTGCATGTCTGTATGCCTAGCCCAGGTGTCTCTATTCAGAGGCTGCCTGTTGGGGGCCTTGGCTGAGGCACTTTCCTCCACTTTGACTCCGCACCTTTCTACTCCTAGCCCTTTCCCCTTTCCCAGCCTGTGGGCTATAAAGAGGCAGGAGCCTTTCGTGTGGGGCCTGGGCTCATTTTTCTTGTCTGTTCTCCACGTCATCTGATCCTCACCTAGAGCTGTTCCATGGGGATAAGGTGTGGGGGAGCTGGAGGCGTCCTCTTTTGCCTCTTGCCCACACTGTTGTAGTAGAGAAGAAAGGTCTGATTGTTACTCTCAGTTTGGCTCATTGAATTAACTGACCACCTCAACATCTGATTCCTCAAAAGCTGGTATTAAGTATTTTCCTTCACCTGCAGTCTCCCAACCTATGTGCTTGAATACAAATGGTATGGCACAAAAACATCTGCTGTGACTGACTATTCCAGAGCAGTGGTTGAGAACTGTACATGGTGTTATCTGGGGATCTTGTTAAAATGTTTCTAATTCTATAGGTTCTGGGATGGGGCTTGAGATTCTGCATATCTGAAAAGCTCCTGGAGGGATATTGATTTTACTGGTCCAGGGACCACACTTTGAGTAGCAAGACTAAAGTGTCAAGGAATTAATGATTTCATTAAAAGAATTAGAATTAATATACAGAGAAACATAAAGCAATTAGGGCAATGCCACTTGATAGTATCAGCAGTTTCAAAGAGGAAAAATAAGGTGATTTTGAAACAGTGGTACTTAACCCTGGCTGCAACTGAGAAGCTTATTATTTATTTTTTGTGTGAAAAATATTTTTAGAAGTAGATGTTTATAGTGAGAAGTAGGCTGGATTAAGAGTTGAAAGTCATATTTTCAGCCTGGTAATTGGCCTTCTGAGCTGTGGAATCTTAGGAAATTTAGTGTCTACCAGCTTAGTTCTGCTAGGAAGTAGGGTTGAAAATGTATACTAGGCCGGGCGTGGTGGCTCACACCTGTAATCCCAGCACTTTGGGAGGCCGAGGCTGGTGGATCACGAGGTCAGGAGTTCAAGACCACCCTGGCCAATATGGTGAAACCCTGTCTCTACTAAAAATACAAAAATTAGCCTGGTGTGGTGGCAGGCGCCTGTAGTCCCAGCTACTCGGGAGGCTAAGGCGGGAGAATTGCTTGAACCAGGAAGTGGAGGTTGCAGTGAGCCGAGATCACACCACTGCACTCCAGCCTGGGTGACAGAGCAAGACTCTGTCTCAACAACAAAAAAAGAAAAGAAAAGAAAAAAGAAAATGTATACTAAGTTTTGAAAATATATTAACGATATGCATAGAAAACACCGTTCATGTATTCCTTAGGTGTGTACTTTGGGCCAAGCACTATTCTAGGTGCTGGGGAATATATCAGTGAATAAGACAGATGCAGTTCCCTGATCTCACAAAGCTCAGAGTCTAGTGGTAAAGAGAAACATCAAAGAGGCAATAATAATAACTACGGTGAGGTTGACGATAGGGAAAGCACAAAGTGCACAAAGAGTTTATAGTGGGTGAATGACCTACATCTAAAAGTCAGGTAGGCCCTCCTTAAGACAGTGATGTTTCAGCTGAGATCTGAAGCCTGTGGCTCCAGCCAGAGGGATGATATATTCCAAGGCCCAGGCATGAAAGAGCACAGTGACCAGAGAGTATTCAAGTATGGCTGAGCATGGAGAGTGAAGGGGAGCATGGCTATGAGTTTGGAGAGGCACTAGATTCAACCGGACACATTTGATTACAGATGCCAGAAGCCGACTCATAGAAGCTTATGTATAAAAGGGAAATTGTTGGTTTACTGAACTGGGAAGTCCATTGGGTGGAGCTGGCCTCAGGCAGAGAAATGAAATCATCCGATCATGTCTTTGCTCTCTTCCTCTCTTCTACTTCCCTCCATGTGTGGCTCTTATTCTTCCCCATTTCAGGAGTGCTTCCTTCATATGGTTGGGAAATGACAGAGTATGATTACAGATAGCTCAAGGTTTACAGCAACCCAGTTTAGCAACTGAAAAGAAAAAAAGGTCACCTTTCTTTCAGAATAGGTATAAAATCTCAGCTAAGAACTCTGATAGGAACTTGGAAGGGCACCACGTTTAATCCCAGGCTAACGATTGTGGCTGGGGGATGAGAGGAGTATTGTGATTGGCTGTCCCACCAAAATCACAAGTAGGGGTAAAGGATACTACCTTCTGGGGAAAGGAGTTGCAGTTATCAGGAAAAGAGGGACACATAATACTGGGCAGGCAGAACCCAGAAGTATTCACTCAGAGTATCTAGTAGGAATTTGGAGGGAGTATGCATACTATGGTAAGCATGGTTTTTCCTAACTGCAGCATAGATGGTAAGTTTAGTTTTGAAGACACTGGTGAAATATCTGTAAACTATAGGGTAGCAGATAGATATTTAGAACTTATTATCTAAAGGAAAATAAGAAGAGAGAGGAAGAAAAGAGAAAAGAGCTTTTATAAATTAAAAATATTACTATTGTTCATAAAACATAGGAGGTAGAACAAAATGAAAATTTATTTTAAATTTTATTTTTGTCACTGCAATTCCCCTTACGTCAACCTTGATATGCCTTTTAAATATCTAAGGTGTAATGACTACTTCAGTTCCTAGGCTAATAGATAGTCAGATTTGCTACATAGTCTTCCTTATAAGTTTTTTTTTTTAATTAGTCAT